AGTGGTGCTGTGGCTCAAGTGGTAGAGTGCTAGCCTTGAGCTGAAGAGCTGAGGGACAGCGCCCAGGCCCAGAGTTCAGGCCTCACGACTGGACCGAAATAAAAACAAACAACAACAACAAAAAAAAAACCTTGCAGGTTAAGAGCCAATTAGTTAGTGCTGAGTGTGAAGTGTATATTTGTATACATTGTGCAATATGGAACACCTTAAGCCGGGCACCAGTGGCTCATGCATGTAATCCTAGCTACTCAGGAGGCTGATATCTGAGGATCCCGGTTTGATGCCAGCCTGTGCAGGAAAGTCTGAGACAATTATCTCCAAGTAATCACAGAAAAGGCCAGAAGTAGAGCTATAGCTCCAGTGGTAGAATGTAGCTTTGAGCAAAAGGAGCTTAGGGACAGTGCCCAGGCCCAGAGTTCAAGGCCCAGGATAGGTACAAAAGAAAAAAAAAAGCAACAAGGAACACTCACTTGGTCACACAATATTAGGCACTAGTTACAATTATCTCACTTGATTTATTTATGTATTTTTTTGGTGCCAGTCCTGGGGCTTGAACTCAGGGCCTAGGTGCTGCCCCTGAGCATCTTTGGCTCAAGACTAGAGCTCTAGCACTTGAACCACAGCTTCACTTCTGGATTTTGGGGGTAGTTTAGTAGCGATAAGTCACAGACTTTCTACCTAGGGTGGCTTTGAACCATGATCCTCAGATCTCAGCCTCCTGAGTAGCTAGGATTACAGGTGTAAGCCACTAGTACTCAGCCATCATCTCACTTTATGATAGAACAGGTTTACTAACAGTATTCAAGGTCACAAAGCACGTATCTGGTAGGGCAAGGATTTGAAATTAACTGTGAACTCTATGCAACTTATTTAAGCATTATGCATGTAAGGTGGAGAAGGGCTTCTGGGCATACATTTTTTGAAATGAAGGTCAATGTAGATGACTACAAAAAATAATCACTCATCTATCATCCACTGTTCTATGGGACACAACAAAGCAGGAGACCTGAATGTGGCCCGTCTGTAGCAAAAACTAGGTGGGAGCTTCAAATAGCCTAACAGAACAGAAGGGTGTGGCAGCTGGAGATCTCTACTTTTGTTGGGAGGAAGGCACTGGGGAGGAAGACCAAAGGGACAGAGCATGGGCACTTTTTTGCTCCAACTGGACCAGCTCATTTTCTCTCATGATCTCTGCTTCTACTCTGGGGCACAACCCATAGCAGAAGGGCTGGGTTTTATCCTGACTGATCTGATCTCCACTACTAAACATCTCTGATTCTTCAGGTGTTTGCTGTGTGATCTTTTTTTTCCCCTTGCTTCTCAACCACACTATTATCTACATTATGTACCTTTCTACTTCTTCACTCTTTTGGTGATCAGTGGGTTTGAATTCAGGGCCTTGCAGTTGCTAGGCTGGGACTAGATGCTCAGGTGATGATACATTTCTTTCTACTTTGTAGACAAACTTAGCAATACCTGGCAAATATTACTTTAAAAAATTATTGGTTGCATTTACAATGTTATTTTGTTCATTCATTCTGCATTCACTTTCGCCCTCAAATTTATTCAATAGGCTACTTGGAAGTTTCTACCACTTACTATTGATGGCTTGGGGAAAATAACTTTTTGTATACATCATTTTCCTCATCTGTGCAATGGGTATCTACCCCATGAAGTTGTGGAATTACTTTAATATATACAAAGCATTTAAAAATGTCTCGCAGCCAGGCACTGGTGACTCATGCCTGTCTTCCTATCTACTTAAGAAGTTGAGATCTGAGGCTGCAGTTCCAAACCAGCCTGAACAGAAGTTTGTGAGACATTTATCTTCAACTAACCACCCAAAAAAGCCAGTAATAAAACTATGGCTCAAGTGGCAGACCACTAGCCTTGAGCAAAAGAGCTCAGGGACAGTGCTCAGGCCCTGAGTTCAAGCCCAAGGACTGGCCAAAAAAAAAAAAAAAAAAGTGTGTCTGGTGACTAGTAGCCTCTGGAGAATAATTGAATTTTTTTTAATAACTTAAGAAATATAACTAAAGCCAAGTGCCAGTGGCTCATGCCTGTAATCCTAGCTACTCAAGAGGCTGAGATCTGAGGATTGCAGTTAAAAGCCAGCCTACGCAGGAAAGTCCAGGAGTCTCTTATCTCCAATTAACCACCAGAAAACTGGAAGTGGCTCTGTGGCTCAAGAGGTTGAGTGCTCTCCTTAAGCTGAAGAGCTCAGGGATAGCACCCAGGCCCAAAGTTCAAGTCCCACAACTGACAAAAAAAGAAAAAAAGAAAAAAAAAAGAAATATAACTGTACCTTCCAATGTTGAGGTTGCTTAACTGGAGAAATGCTGTGACAGTGAAAACAGCATGGCTGGAGTAACTGCATTCTAGTCTCCCACAAGTAGTCACTCTCAGTTATTTAATTTCTCTGGCATTCAGTGTCCTCATTAGTCAAAAGTGGGCGAGGAAGGGGTGGAGTAAAAACTACCTTGGGGATCCTTCTGGGATAAAAACCATTCTGACATACCAACTACTTTAGATAAGCAATCAAAGATAAAAATAAACTACTTTTGGACCAAAGGAAAAAAAGCCTTGGAGTTGCAAACTTAGTTTATTTCAAAGACTGTTTTCTCAAACAATGCATAGTTCTGAAGTTGAAATAAATAAACTGTCCCAACACTCCCACTTTTTTTTTTTGGGGGGTCCGGTTATGGGGCCTGAACTCTGGGCCTGGGCACTGTCCCTCAGCTCTTCAGCTCAAAGCTAGTGCTCTACCACTTGAGCCACAGCGCCACTTCCGGCTTTTTTGTTTTTGCTTATGTGGTGCTGAGGAATCGAACCCAGGGCCTCAGGCATGCAAGGCAAGCGCTTTAACCACTGAGCCACCTTCCCAGCCCAACACTCCCACTTTTTAACAAAGATATTTTCTCCTTTTCTTTTGTGCAAGTCCTGGGGCTTGAACTCAGGGCTTATGTGCTATCCTGAGCTTTTTCATTCAATTCTAGTGTTCTACCACTTGAGCCACAGTTCCACTTCTAGCATTTTGGTGTTTAATTAGAGATAAAGAGTCTTACAGATGGGCTGGGAAGGTGGCTCAGTGGTAGAGC